AAAATCAAGATAGGAACCTGAGCTCCTGACAATGTGTATGGATCCAGTAAGATGCGAAGGATTTCAAGAAACTGGCAGTGCATATCGTCCCCAAAATCAGTTATCATTCCTTTAACTTGCAAGTAAACAACTGGGTATATTAGTTATTCCAATTTACAGACAAACAGAGAAAAAACATATATACAGACAAGAAATATAAAATAAGAATATCACTCCCATTTTACTATTCAACCATTCACTGAACCATTTCTTAATTTTAAGCATTTTCATAAGGGAAAAATACCATGGGGTCCCATTTAAATTGAATTTCATTCTAAGAAAATCAAATATTAAAATATCCCATAAGATTGAAGTAGAGAGAGAACATTATTACAATAAACATAAGAATAGAATATACAGAAGGAATCATGAAGTACCAAGCAGTTCTCTTTCTGATCAAGAAAAAGAGTATCCTATACTTAACCCAAAAAGTGTGGAAAATGCCTTTGTTCAAAGTAATTGACTTCTAAAAAATGATTATGCCACAAGGAATAAGATTGGCCTATATAAACAAACACCAATACATCATGCTGCATCTAAATTTACCAGGGGTAGGTACACCAAGTTGATAATTCAACACCTAAGTTGCTCAATTGGGGAACCTATAGATGTAATGATGACCACATACACAAATGAAATATAGCTTCAATTAATTGGAAAAATGGCACTTACGAATAGAAAAGCAATCCAACGCCAATTACAAAACTGAAAAGGAGAAGAGAAAATAAAATAAAATAAAACAAATAACAAAAAAAAGACAAGAAATACTGAAAATCTGAAATCAACGGGAAAAAGGAGAGAAAATAAAGCAGAATTGAAGCTGCATTATACCTAGCTGCTTAGAGGAACGCTTGAATTGAGCAAAATGAGCCAAATCTAAACCAAAAAAATCAAAACAAAACAAAAAAGTCAATGGTAAGAATTAAATCTCCTTTGAAAAATGATGCCTAGTAGATTCTGAGCACATAGACCTGATTGAGATGGAGCGTGAGCGGAGAGATAGAGGATGAGGAAGCAGAGAAGAGTGAGAACTGGAATAAGGTGAATAAACTTCTTAGGCGTGGAAGTCGACAGCGACGGCAGAGACGACGACGGTGAGAACGACAACCGGCGAAGCTTGGTTGCCTTGCGCTTGCTGTTGTCATCATCGTCTTCCGCAACTCTGCATCTCGGATCTTCAGCTACAATAGTATCGTCTCCTCTATGGCTGTGGAGCTTGGAGACTGGAAAGCCAAGAGATTGTCTCTGCATGTTAGAGAGAGAGAGAGAGAGAGAGGGGTAAACGCAAGAATGAAAATGGTGACATGTAATCAATTGACTGAGTTGTTTTTTCCACTTAGCCTTGTAAAAATTAAAAGTGGTAATTGTTAGACACTCAACGTGCTAAGTATGCAGTTTGTCAACGGAAGGATCATTTGCGCTACAGAAAAATAAAGTTAAAGGATGAATTAAGTTTTGAAATAAAAGTTTAAGGACCAAATTGGTTATTAAACCTATTAGATATTGGCTTAACCTTGTTTAGCCCCAAGCCCCCGCCCAATCTCGGCAAAAGCTTACATTTAGTCCCTCATCTTATCAAATTTAAAGATTTTAACTCTTCACATTTTAATCTTTATTTTACTAAATTTATAAGTTTTAGTCCATTACCTTATACTATGACACTTTTAATCCCTAACTTATTAAAATTAAAAAAAATAGTTCTGACTTTATAACATTTTGTTAGTTTTATTAGTTAACTATTAACTCTATTAACTGATTATTAATTGATTGTTAATTTACAAAAATCTTTTTTTAACTAACAGAGTTAATAGAACTAATTTTATAATATTTCGTTAATTGATTATTAATTAACTATTAGTTGATGAAAATTTACTTTCAGTTAATAGAATTAACAGTCAATAGAATTAACAGTCAATATAAAAAGAGGACTATTTCCTTCGATTGTAATAGGTGAGGGGTTAAAACCTATAAATCTAGAAAGGTGAAAGGTTGAAAGTGTCATAGTATAATAGTATAAGATGAGGGGCTAAAACCTTTAAGTTTGATAAGATAAGGGACTCAAATAGGTTTTTGCCCCCCAATCTTAACCCCATTGCCTGTAAAAGTGTCAATAACTTTGATCCTAGGAGTGGAAAGCCTCTCCTCCTCCTCTCTTCCACTTGAATCTTTTTCTGAAAATAGGCATTGGACTCTTCCACTTGAATCTGAGATCAGAACTGATGAAAAAATTGTTCCTTTCCAAGCCACAAAAAGAAAAATTCGAGTTGGGATTTTGATCATAGTCTTTGAAGAGCAGCAAGGGTAGATAGAGGAGAAACTTTGCAAAGACGATCTCTTTCTTCTAAAGTGGAATCAGATCTTGGAGAGAATGAAACAACTCGGACTTCAGGTGTAAGTCCGAGATGTTGTTTCGATTCATTACTTTTTCAATCTGGTGAGATCTTTTAGATACCCATTAATTTTCTTCTAGATCTATATGTTTCAAGTCGTGGGTTTCATATTTTGTGTTCCTTTTTCTTTGTTGGGTTTCTGTACTTATTTGTCAAATCTTGAATATTTCAAGTAGTTAATTCTGTTAGTTTTGTTGGAGGCTGGTTGTATGGTAATTTAGATTACCAAACCAGATTTCACATGCACTCTTAAGAGCTTTCCAAGAGACATGTAAAGAGAATTAAGTTATTGGGACACCTAATAATCTAATAATTTTTATCTAGTTGACTTGGGACGTGTATAACATAGCTGAGTCTCCAAACTAAGGCTATTTTCCTTTTATAATTTTCTGGATTCCAGACAACAAACTAAGTAAAAGAAGAGTATTCTGCGGTCAACACTCAACAGCAGCAGCGGGAATTTAGGTGGGGTTTGAGAGAGTGTTTGTGGAATCTAAAGCAACCTTAAGGTAAATTAGCAATTTAATTAGCTAATGTTTATGCCAATTAGTGACTGATAAATTTGGAATGATTTTAGAACTTTTACCTCAGCTTTATATTCTGGACTTATAAACACGTAGAATTAAGTACATGCTAGAAAGAAAGTGGATTCTATGACTCAGCAGAAGGAATAGGAAAAAATAAAATGGAGTTAAGTGTGTGCTGTGACAAGATCTATAAGCTACACAGAGATTAGTTAATCACTTAATTTTGAAGGAATCTCAAAAAATAGGAGGCTTAGTCACATTAGAAGTACTGCATGGAACTAACCAAATCTGGAGGTTCGATGGGCCTAAAATTGTGAAAGGAATGTTCAAGGGTAATCCTAGATTAATCTGAATGTGATACTTATTCTTGGATATGTGATGTAATAAGGGAATTTAATGAATGGAACTTATTGGTAAGGTAACAATCACCGGTAGACTATTATATATATACACGTATATAGCCATAGAAGGGGTAGAAAGTGAATTAAAGTCTACGTGGAACTAGACTCAGAATATCTCAGTATCTATTTATGAGAAAGAGGTGATTTAAAGTTATCATGAAAGTTTGTAAGGGTAATGCATTAGCGAGGGTGCGGTTTAAAGAAAGAAGAGAGAGGTTTATTTCCTGTTACCAGTAGGTATGAATTATAGTTACCCAGTTAAATTTTGTTTGAGTTAAACCAATTTGTGGAGAAAGGGTAAGAATCAGTGTATATAAATGAATTTGATGGCAAAGGTAATTCTATGTGATGTATGTGGAGTATCATTTTACGAGTGTAAGTGTCATTCCCTAACTATTCCTTTAGTACAAGTATGGATGTTTAAGCTAAACCAAAAACTATAAAAAAACTTGGCACATGTAGCTTAAGCCGAGGGAAGAACAGTGAAGTTAGATCTTTCTTTAGTACACGTAGAGTGTTACTTAAAGGTATTTTGTAATCTTGCAAGTTTATTGTCTGTGTTGTCCTGTCCTCTGATTTTGTTGCAAAGAAGAAAACATGACTAAGTCTGTTTATGACTTGTTTTGCTTCATTCTGACTACGATAGTTTTTGAGTTAAATAGGTTAGTTAAATAGGTTAGTATACCTTCTATGAAGATTCAACGTCTAAATTATTTGAGAAAGATTGTACCATCTTTCCTATCATTGGCAGTATGAAGATAGTATTTCTAATTAACTTTAGTGAATTACCATAATTCTGCAACACAATGATCAAATACTAGAACAGTGGTTTAGGGCCACACTATTAAATATGCAAGCTGCTTGAGAGTGGTGATAATCGTGTTAAGAGTCTGACTGTTATTTATACTATAATAATATATTTCTAGGAAAAAGTGGACTGGATTGTGAAGGAATTATATTCACTCCTTAATCTCTATTGAAACATTGCACCAAGAGTCTCATAGAGGTATAAAAAGCACCCCAACATCTTGTGGATTGTTGAACTCCTCTCATGTTCTGTAGTCCATAGTCCATACTATAAATATGGAGATGGGGACACAGATGGTCAGCCATGTTAAACTCAGGGCTTCACTTTTTTTTTTTTTGACTTTGAGCCTGACTTGAAAGCCTGAATTCAGTAACTTCAGCATGTCACATTAGATCATAAAAATCATTGCCTATGAGCTTCCCTCAATTTTATATTATTCTGGAAGATCGAATTTTTAAAGGACACACAATAATCAATGCTTATGTCTATTTTTAGGTTTTTTTTTTTTTTTTAATTTATCATTATTACTGTTTGAATGTTTTCACATAACCAACAAATATTTTACCTTTAAGGTCCCATGGAAGAAGTTGGGATCTAGTGGATTTGGGGATGTCTTTGAGGTCAATTTAAATGACAAGGCAGTTGCAATTAAAAACACAAGTACTCACAAAAAAAATATTGCTAAAGTGTAAAGTGTCAACATCTATTAAATGCAATCTAAAAAATGATTAACTGATTTATTTAATCTTGCAGAGAGAGAAGGATTTCCTAAATACCAATACCAATGTCAGGAAGCTGAGGCACAGAAATATCATTCCATTGAAAGGATATGGTGAACATAAGGAAATCAAGAACAAAGAACTAACAGATTACTTTGACTGGCTGGTTTATGAACTCATGCCTAATTCACTAGAAGACAAGATTGCTAGTAAACACAACATTTTATTCTAATTTCATTCAATAAAATAGTGTTAAAATCCCCAAACCATACAGGATGATTAACTTTCATATATGTGTATATATATATATATATTTACCATGCTGAATTGGGAGCAAATACTCAACATTTTGCAACAGACGGTAGATATGTTGGCTTACGTGCACAGGGAGAAAATTGTGCATGATGACATTAATCCTGCAAATATTTTGATTACAGAGGTAGCCTATCTACAAAGAGAAGGCCCAATGTAATTTCTAATAGATTTGCTAATAAAATACTATATGCACAGGATTTTTTGGTCGAAGTGATAGATTTTGGTGCAGCAGCCAAAGTTGGTCGAGATGTAAATAGTGGACCCGCAGCATATAAATGACCCAAGACTGGACAACCACCAGGTAACTGATTCTTTATTATTATAGTATACATAATGTTCAGACTTTAACACGATTATCACCACTCTCAAGCACTTTGCATATTTAATAGTCTGGCCATAAACCACCATTCTAGTATTGGACCATTGTGTCGAAGAATTATGGTAATCCACTAAAGTTAATTAGAAATACAATCTTCCTACTGCCAATCATAGGAAAGACAGTACAATCTTTCTTAAAGAATTTAGATATTGAATCTTTCTTAAAGAATTAGGCATGTGGTGATTGTACAGTCTTGGCCGTTTATATGCTGTAGATCCACTCTTTACATCTTGATCAACTTCGGCCGCTGCACCAAAATCTGTCACTTTGACCACAAAATCCTGTGCATATAATATTTTTATTAACAAACCTATTAGAAGTTATATTGGGTCTTCTCTTTGTAGATACGCGATCTCTGTAATCAAAATATTTGCAGATTTAATGTCATTATGCACAACATTCTCCATGTGTATGTAAGCCTATGCTGCTGTCTGTTGCAAGATGTCAAGCATTTGCCCCCAATTTAGCACTGTAAAATATATATATATATATATATATATACATATGAAAGTTAATCATCCTATATGGTTCAAGGATTTCAACACTGTTTTATTGAATGAAATTAGGATAAAGAGTTGTGCTTACTTCCAATCTTGTCCTCTAGTGAAGCAGGCATGAGCTCGTAAACCAGCCAGACAAAATGATCTGCTAGTTCTTTGTTCTTCTTTCTTGATTTCCTTGTGTTAATCATATCCTTTCAATTGAATAATATTTCTGTGCCTCAGCTTGCTGACATTGGGATTCAGGACCGCTTATCTCTCTGCAAAGATTAAATAAATAAGTTAATCATTGTTTAAATTGCATTTAATAGATGTTAACACTTTACACTTTGATATTTTTCTGTGAATACTTGTCTTTGTTAATTGCAACTACCTTGCCATCTAAATTGCCTTCAAAGACCTGCCGAAATCCACCAGTTCCCAGCTTCTTCCCAAGAGGATATTATGTCCAGTAATTCTTCCCTTGGACTGCCTCTAGAGCGATTCTGTTCCATGGGACCTTAAAAAGTAAAAAGATTCGTTTTTTATGTGAAAACATACAAACAGTAATAATGATAAATTAAAAAACTAAAAATAAACATAGGCATCAATTATTGTGTGTCCTCTAAAAATTTAACGATGCTGAAGTTACTAAATTCCAGCTTTCAAGTAAACTAAGGAAAAGCTGAAGTCAGTTAAAAAAGGTGGAGGCCCAAGGTTAACATGGGCTGACCATCTACGTTCCAATCTCCATATTTATGATATGGACTACAGAACATGAGAGGAGTTCAACAATCCACAAGATATTGGGGTGCTTTTTATACGTGTGCCTACCTAACACATATACAAGACTCTTGGTGCAATGTTTCAATTGAGAGTGTTCGTGGTGTGGTTTAATTCAGATTTTATTATTTTTTAAATTAATTTAATTTAATTGGTTAATAAAATTTTTAAACCAATTTAATTCATTATTTTGTGATAATCAAATCAACCTAATTTAAATTGGATCGGTGTGGTTCGATTAGATTAATCGGTTTTTAACATTATTAGATATATAAGATAATATAAAAATATTTTTAACACCAAATAGAAAGTATAATTATAAACAAATTCTTATATTCTTTTATATTTGTAAAATTGAAAAGCTTTGAAAATTTTTTTTGGTTATATCACTAAAGGCACCAAAAACAATAAAAAATAACTTTAAATTTCTAGCACAACGTAAATAATTCTTGAATATTAAAATTAGTTTTTTTTTCCTAATTGACTAATAATTTAATCTCATTTTCTAAATCATGTTAAAAGTGACATTTAACATTAATATTACTAAAATTGATTAGAAGCATTCATAATCAAAATTTAAAACTTCTAAACCAAATATCCAAAAATAGTAGAATATTAAGACTAATTTTATTATATAGTTTTAAGACTTTTAGAATTATACTTATTTAAAATTTAGTTAGGAGAATCATAAGATTATTTTAAAAATAAATTAGAAATTTAAGGTTCTAAAAGTAATTGCGCAAAACAGTTCTGAGATGATAGAGTTGCAAGTGAATTAGAAATTTAAAATTAAACTTAGAGTGCATGATTAAAATAGATAAATAACTTAGGGAATATGGAGATGTTCTATTTTTATTTTTTTAATTAAGTTAATAAAGTTATAATCTTGTAAAATAAGAAAAAGAAAATTTAAAATACTACAAAAAATGTTATATTATTGAATTAAATTATCTTCCAATCCGATTTTATTTTATAATCGGACAGTTCGGGTGGTTTGAAGGTAAATCACGAACTAAATCAATTATATTGGTTTTAAAATTTTAGAATTCAAACAAATCTAATTTTATATCGGTTTGGATCGATTTTTTATTAAATTGGATCAGTTTAGGTGGGATAAATCGGAATAAATCGGATATAAACACCCTTAGTTTCAATAGAGATTAGGTAGTGAATATAAACCCCTTCACAATCCAATCTTTTTTTCCTACAAATATACAAGCGCATCAAGGCAGTCGATATGAGAAATTATTCATTGATAAGAAAGAGAAATTGTGAGAAATGATTGAATGGTTGAATTGACAATGATAAAATAGATTCTACAATAAAGAAAGCCATTTACATTTCTGCAACATACGTATATAGAGAAAAGGGATTAATGAAGTTCTATTAACCTTAGAAGAAATAACCAGAAGGCAGTTTCATTAGTATCATTACTCATGGTGAAATTACATCGGAGTGCAATATATTATATGTATACATAAGAAATTGGACTATCATCAAGCCATAATGCATCCATCAAATGGCAGGAGGATAAACCATATGCACTCTAGCCATAATAAAATCAACATATTAATTTGGGAACATGGAGAAGTTCTAAAATGAGGACAAACTAAAAATGAAAATAAAAAATCTGAGATGTCAACCTGATAGATCATACAGTAATACCATTGACATTAATGACAAATACAATACTAGAAAAGACGAAAGTCCTAATTACAAAATCTCCCCTCGTTTGGGAAACAGTTCCTCTCGGTCTCATAACTGAGGAAATTAGTTGAGATATAAAAAAAACGACTCCCGGGCAGCAAGATTAGACCAAAAAAGGGAAACATCAGAGATAAGAAAACTCAGGACAACGCATTATGTCCTCAATTCCATCTACTAGTGCAGCAACAGAACATTGCTGAAGCATCCCA